ATGATTACATGATTGGTATACTTGCTGTATTTGACTGATTAATGAACTGCAGGGATAATATGATTTGAAAATAGGCTTGAATTAGCTTGTTGTGCAGTAAGGCACTAATTTGAGAAGTTTATAGGTATCTTTACTAAAACCCTCACGAGACTACAACTCGTCCACTTGGGGTAACTTAGGGGTTTAAAGGCTTGTTGCATAGGCTAAATGCAACCGTGATTCCCACGAAAGTGGCTTTTTAGTTCTGTATTGGTAAGGGACTAGCAATATGTAAGTTTGGGGGTTTGATGAGCGCTGAATATATGTATATTCGAGCCCCTAAATACGTATATGTTAAGGCCTAAAGTGATACTTTTATCCATAGTTAGACTAATTTATGTTTAATGTGTGTTTGTTGGTACTTTCCCAAAGAAATGGTTAAAACCGGGACTTTATGATGATATCGAAGCTTACAGAGTCGTTGCCCATCATTCAGAGCAAGCCGAGAGCTTAAATGGTGAAGTTTGAAGATATTCAAGCTTTAGAGCTCCAAGTATGGAGGCTTGAGTATCACAGCAAAGAAAAGAAGAAAAGTCAACAAGACCCAAAAGCTCGAGCCTTACTATAGGGTACTCGAGCCTTAACCAAGGGTGCTCGAGCCTTAACACTCAAGCTCGAGCATGAGGCGTCGAAAATTAAAGAGTTGATTTAATTGCAAGGCTATGCTCCCAGGTCTTGTGCCTTACCTTCAGGATCGAGCACTAACAACTGAAGCTCGAGCCTGGTGTTCCTGATACTCAAGCCTAGTACCTAGTGCTCGAGCCCATGAAGCTTGGATCGAGCAATGTTAAAAGAGATGAGTCCTAGAAATATTCTAAGTGTTGAAGAAAAAGATGCTTCGGAAAATAGTTGAAGAAATTTGGCTAAGTGTCAAAGTGAAGATCAAGCACCATTTATGGAGGCTCGAGCATCAATCTTGTAAAGGTCGAGCCTTGTTCCTGAAGCTTGAGCGTGAACCTTAAAGCTCGAGCCTCTGTTCCTGAAGCTCGAGCCTTCCATGACATATTAGATTAATATTGCGGGATTGCTCTCTTTATTCGCCATATCTCATCCCAGTTGGACCAGAAGACCTAAAAGCCCACCAAATATTATTTTCTTCTATAAAAGAAGGCGTAAGCCTTAATAGAAGGGGTCCAAAATTTCAATCTCTTTTGTGATGTTATTCAGAAGGTTGAAGGTGTGGTGGCTTTTAGGGTTCATACAACCTTGAAAGTGAAGATCCTGAGAAGAGAAGTGCAGTCCGTGATGATAGAGATGAACTCAACACAGATGATATCCAACCGTGTTATGAGTAGCTAATTCCTCTCTTAGGGCACTGATGTAACCCAACCTAATACTATGATTTGATTGTTTTAACTCTGGGATTAATTTTAATATATGTATTTTCTTGATTATATGACTACGAGTACTTGAGACAACTCAAGTGGTTTTCATGCTTTAATAGATTATAAACTGTTACTACCTTGTCTTAGATGTAATAGTTTGTTTTCTATTCCCAACCTACCTTATTGGACGATATCTGGCGAAGCCCTGCCAGCCATAAGAATAGAGATCATATAATGGTGTTCCAACGTATTTTGCAAAAGAATGTTTTCATAATCTATGCTTAGGAAAGGTGGATTGTTTACAACGTAGTTAAAGTAGTTAGAGTAGGTAGGCGGATAATCCACGCTAACCGTAGATAGGTTATAGTTAGCTAATTTTGTAAAACATCTTTCTTTAAAACCCGAATTGAATGAATGTTATTGAGTTCAATTCATTTGGAAAATATCATTGTTAAATTCCCACAGTTAGTATAATTAACTATAGTATGATGGTTATGGTGAAGTCAAAGCCCTAAGATTCCTCTCTCTCTGATCACTCAATTTATTTACTTTGCTTTTATTTAATATTTTGTTTTAATTCTAGTTTGTTAAACCGTGACAACCAACAAACTTTCCAACCAAGTTACCTGTAAACCATAGAACAAAGTTAAAGACTGAAATATAAATCTCTTCTCCCTGTGGGTTCGACATCTCTTTCTATAGCACTATTCTACACGGAATCATTCTATTGCGGGTGTAAAATAAACAGACAACACCCCTAAGCACCAAAAGGTAAAGTATAAACAAATACAACACAAATCTGATTTAACACGAGGGTTAAACACAAGTTTGAAATAAAAGAAGTGTCTGGAACTATTTTCGAGCACTTGACTCAATCCGGTCCAACTAAACCCGATCCCAAAAAAAATAAACGGAACAAGAAAATACCGAAAAATAAAAAAGGGACTGGTCCTCATTGGGTGTGAGTCACTGGTAGGCTGCCACACTGGGCGAGCTACATGTGCATAACCCCACATCACCTGGGTGTGAAAAAGGTAAGTGTTATTTGTAGATTCAACACCCTTTTATGGCATAACGTATTTTAAAGTCATAATAGTCGTGAACCTACCAGAACTTCGGATTTAAGCGTGCTTAACCTAGAGTAGTACTAAGATGGGTGACCCCTAGGAAGTCTCTGGTTCGGGGGAGCCAAAAGTAAATAATATTGTGTTTGGATAGGATGAGGGTTGTTACAAGTGGTATCAAAGTCTAACCCAACAAGAAGTGTGGCCAACTGGGACGTTGGCCCCCAAAGGGGGGTGATTGTAGCGACCGATGTGGACGGGTGTGAGGCACTGGTAGGCTAGCACACTGGGCGAGCTACAGGTGCACAATCCCACATCGCCTAGGTGTGAAAAAAGTAAGTGCTATATGTAGATTCAACACCCGTCTATGATACAACGCATTTTAAAGCTGTGATGGTCCTGAACCTACCAGAACTTCGGAGTCTAGCGTGCTTAACCTGGAGTAGTACAAGGATGAGTAACCCATAGGAAGTCTCTGGTTCGAGGGAGCCAAAAGCAGATAATATTGTGTTTGGATAAGGTGAGTATGATGACCTCGTGGGCGGGTGCGAGACACTGGCAGGTTACCATACTAAGCGAGTTACGGGTGCACAATCCCACATGGCCTGGGAAAGGAAAATATTAAGTGCCTATATGTGGTGGTTTTATCTCTAATTGGTATGAGGCCTTTTGGGGTAAAGCCCAAGAGCAAAACCTTACGGGCTCGGGCCCAAAGCGGATAATATCATACCATGTGGTGGAGTGGGTCGCTACAAATGGTATCAGAGCCTGACCCAGCCGGAAGTGTGCTGACGGGGACGTCGGGCCTCCAAAGGGGGTGGATTGATGACCCTATGGGCGGGTGCGAGACACTAGCAAAATACCACACTCGGCGAGCTACGGGTGCACAATCCCACATTGGTTGGGAAAGGGAAAGGTGAAGTGCTTATATGTGGTGGTGCTATCTTCAATTGGTATGAGGCCTTTTGGGGTAAAGCCAAAGAGCAAAACTATATGGGCTCATGCACAAAGCGAACAATATCATACCATGTGGTGAAGTGGGTCGTTACAGTGAGGGTTGTTATAATAGGATCGAGTACGATGTGGGAAGGGCTTGTGGGTACAGGTTTTTCTAAGAAATTACGATAGTAAATGAGTTGTAGGCTATTGGATGAGTTAAAGGTTTCATCTCGATTGGTGAGGCAACTGGTGGCGATGGCGGTTGGCTTGATAGGTCGTATTCTTCGCAGTGATTCAATAAGTAAACAAAGAGTTTAGAAAGCGCCTAAGTCGACACCCAGGTGAGATCACGATAGTCTCGAACAGGCAAACCACAGGCTGCCACTGCACCACAATCCCCATTGCCAGAACTGCCACCACCATTCCTACCTCACAACCACCACCGTCACCGTCCAACACCATTATAAACGCCTCCACCACCACCTCTTTCTACCCCTTCCATCGAAACCCAAGTTTCCCACCTTCTTCTTCAATGAGGTTAGATAACTCATCTCCATATGTCGCCTCCCCCTCGTACAACACGATCATGGTCATTGACGTTGCCGACAGCCGTCGGGGATCTGCTGTTCGGCATCGGTTGCGGCTCCCTCGTCGTTGCCACCGTGTACCTGTTTGGTCCCTCTTTTATCCCAATTTGATCCTAGTCGCTTCAAATTTTGTGATTCAGATGATAAATTTGAAGATGGTGGTGGTGGTGGCACCAATTTGATGATGGTGGTTATGGCTCCCTCACAGTAGTGATGGTGGTGGTTCTGGGGTGGAATGGTGGTTAGGGGGTGTGAACGATGTCTTGTTGTTCATTTGGATTAAGATAATGAAAGGGTGAAATCATCATTTTAAAAAATATTTTTAAGTTTTAATTTAACATTAAATAGTAAGGTCAAATTTGTCATTTCACAGTCTGATTAACGATGATAATATGATCACTTTTTTAAGTGTATGGGGTTTTCTAAAAAAAAATTGATATTTATGATCAAATTTTAAAAGTAGTAGTAGTGGGAGTTTTATGATTTTAATATAACATGTTTTGGCTTCTTGGTGACAACGTTACATGCCTTTGTCCGATTCTGCTCCTACTATCGAACATTGAAACATAAAAAGAGAGAACCCTAAAAAAATTGGAGTCCCAATCTCCAATCTCTGTCATTTCTTTTTCAACTTGTCTATTATGAGCCTCGAAATTAGTCGGCTCAGCTGAATTTGATATTCTAATTTGCGTCACTTACAATCTTTACACTTTTTTATTATTGATGTAACACAAAGCCGACCAGTGAACGCCCCAGCAAAAATCAGTCAAAGAAATTATTACAGGTCTAAATCTACATAGTCCAGCCAGTCATAGGCGGTCGACAAATTATTACATAGTCTCAGACGATGTAAAAAAAAAATTCAGATCAGTGAGAATCCTTGTCCCAACGAGGATATAATGAAATGTAAGCACTTGGGAAGGAAAGAGACATGTCAAGTCTTATTCAGAGAAGCTTACCAGTAGTTTAACTCATTAGTAAAACGCTAGTCAGATATTAATTAATATATATGTCATGCCAATTGAAAAACTTTATCACGATGAAGCTTTAGTAATTTCTTGCTTTGCAGGCAAAAAATACATTCATATATATACAGTACATAAAATAAATGACACGGACAAGCATTCACCTGCATATTTTACTTGAAACAACGCCATTGAACTTTTTACTCTTTACAATGAACCACGAAAATGAAGAAAAACGAAGACGAAGAATGTATTTAAGGGTATTAGCCACAATGCACTCAACACAAACACATACAGAAAGAGGGAGAGGGAGAGGGAGAGAGCCCACAATTCAAGTGGCATTAAGAGAGACATCTGCTGCATTTCTACAAAAGACGGAACATTGAAGTGTGAACTAACAGGATCCCGATATTTTGTGACGGTACCAAAGCATCGTGTTAGTATGGGCGCAAATCAACAATTGAGATTTCATTTCAGATGCAGAGTCCTCCCACAGAAGACATTTCTGCAATTGGAGTAAGAAAACATTAGCTCGTACATAGGGGCACAAGATTATACCACGCATAAAACAAACAAAAATTTATCGAGCCCAAAAAAAATAAAAATAAAAAGAATTCTAATGATAACCACCAATTCACAAATTATAAACCTCAAGGTTCCCTCGTATACACAAACAACAACAATTCAAAGTAGTAGAATTCCCCTGATCTCTTTAACAGCAAATTTATTAAACCAGTAGGATCTCAGAAGCTCTACAAGTTTTAGGACCAATCATGAGTGCCGTGCCCCCTGATTTTAGACAAGATTTTGGAACAGATAATACTGATGGAGTTCGAAGTTGCTTATGTCTCATAAAAGATTAAATTGGTTCATTATGTTTCGCGTAGAATGGGAATAAACAACATGGTAGTGCAGCATGGAAAGGACACAATAATAATTGTGATGAAGTAGAAATTTAGGTTTTCCATTGGCATCCTCAAGTGGGCAAGTCACTTGGCCCTGGGTGGCCTCAGGAAGCATCAGGTCTAAGGTTCAACTCCTCTTGGGTGCAAAACAATTCCTTGGAGGGGGGGTGTGTGAGTACCAACTAGGAAAAAAAATTATGGTCTATAGTTCTGGTCACTTGTCATCATGAATTTAACTCTGATAATGTATATCCCATGATTTAAAGTCAATTCTATATGAACAACAATAAATCTATCTCAAACACCATGAAAACACAGGGCATATCCTCTATTTTCATGGCACATCAAGTATCCTGTTATTAAACTACATGTTCTTTTACAAACATGATCACAAGTTTTGATGTTTGAACTGTAGTCAATCTTCGCTCCCACTAGCCTCTCCAAACACGATCCCTATACATCATGAAGGCATTTATTCTTTCAATTCCTAGCTGTGCAGATCATCTACATTATTATACTCTCTTTTTCTCTAAGAAATAAATTTGGTCACACGGGCAGACATTTTAGACACAAAAAGCAAGTCAGAGAGAGGAGGCTGGGAAGGGGAAAAAAGAAAAAAGAAAGAGAGCTCCAACATGCTAATAATGAAAATTCACCTACAATAAACATATTATACTAATTTTTGTCAGAATTATCCAAATTTGACATTTTATGGAGTATTATCCAAGCAAATAAATAGGATAAAACAGTCAAAATAAATTGAGCAAGCCAAAGAGGTGCAAGAAATAAAGCTACCGACATTAGACATCCTCTACGTGGCTTTTTCTTTTTCTCCTTTTGTTTTTGTGGTGGCTTGATAACAACCTTGATTGCAGCATCAAAAACTGCTTTCACATTCTGAAATCACATACAAAAGGAATAAATGTAGATTAAAATTGCAGAAATAAAATACAGTGTACCAACATGCAAAATAGAAAAGATCTCATGTCACCACTTGTACACATGTTGGGTGTTGAAACTAAGTCTTTGTTTATCTAATTTCCAAATCCAGGGGCATGAGAGACGTGGCTAAATAATCAATTTTTTTTATTATTCTTCTTTTATTTTCTAAGGTTAACCGTGTCTTTATGAAACATCAAACATTCATCCTCGGCATCACTCTTTCTGAAGCAACTATGTAAAAAAAGGAAAAAAGAGAGACATTTAGGCACTATATAATTAATAAATTTAAATATTGACACTTTTTGTTGGTTGAGTATCCGGCTAGACAAATAGTACGCATATCCCACACCCATACTCACACCATGCCTATCTGACATGGGTTTATTTAGAAGAGTTTATGTAACATAGACTTGTCCCCACTCATATATGACAAAGTCAAGGAGGATGACAATGATGAATTGATGATCACAACATAACATAGACTTATCTCGAAAATAGTATATATAAAGGTGAAGCAGACTTTCAGGCAGTGGCCTTTGTTCACCGAGCAACATAAAGTACCAATACCCACAAAAGGCAATTGAACACAAAGCCACCAAGTAAAACCTCCGCAAAAGGAATGCTACCATCACTTAGAATTTTTTTTTTTTTGTCTTCTCCAAGATCATGGAAGAAAGCCAACAATTGGCTGCGGAGAGATCAATTTAGGGAGAGTGGAATTGCAACAAAATATTTTATATTATCACAAAGATGGAAATTTGTCAGCTTTCTGCCTCACCTCCAGAAGGTCCGATTTTCCTTGCGTAACTACTCGTGTAGATTGGTAATAATGCTGGGTCAATCAACATTGCTGCAAATAACTTTCTTGCAATTGACATCGTATTTAATATTTCAGATTGCTTGAGAACAAGTGCAACAACGTCCATGAAAAATAATTTCCCTGATCTAGTGATCTCATTTTGTTCATTGCTAGGTCTGCCATATTTAAACTTATTAAAACTTCAGTATAAATGCTGGGATGGAATTTTTGTCTCAGTTTACAAGAACCCCCAAGCTATACACCAATAAAGCATGCCAGGGACCATAAAAATGTATTCTTGTAAATTTTGTTTATGGCTTGCAGGCCTCTGGCAATAAACACTTGCCCAAAAAAAAAAAAAAAAACCAGAAGATTGTTACACACATTTGTTTTAGGATATCTGACGTATTTAATCTCCTGAATAAGTTGTACCAGGTATCAAAATATTTGCAACTGTCGGATTATAAAGAAACTACTTGCATTACAAAAATAGACCAAGTTTCAGTACCTGCTGAGTTTTGGAGCTGCATTCTATATAGTATGTGGCACCAATCTGTTTACGGAGCTCCTCACCCTGATTGCACCAAATCATCATCATTGATTTTTATGATTAGATCAGATAAGAATATATATATATATATATATGATTAAATTGTTAACTCAGAGAGCAAAGAGTAGCCAACAAATAGAAATTACACCTGTGCTGTGGTCACGGGCACCAATCCAGGATGATCAGCCAAATAGTGCTTATCCTCACGAAGGTCTGTGAAAATAAACAATTAATTAGTTGCTAAATTTAACAATGTCATACATGCTAATATGTATGACATCACTATTGCTTTACAAGTTTCAAATGTTATTTTGCAAAATGGATTGTCATAGCATCTGATGGCAAGAATAAAAAATGGTTATGTAAGAACATCACCATGAGACATGGTATCAAAGGATGTCCATTCAAGAGGATCAATACACAAAATTTTAAAGTATGGAAATAAATATGTTATAATTCTAAATTGTGGAAGAGAAAGGAATTTTGGGTTGATTCAGTTCAGCAGTTGGAATGAAGAAGTCCTAACTAAATAATATAAAGCAATCAATGAAGTGGTGGAAGTGGAATTGGAATAATGAAAGACAACCGCTGTTGTGTAATACACTTAGTGTACATCTGAGACATTGCAAAATTGTTCAAGGAAACAGATCAAACATTAAATGCAGAGCCTCTTATAGGTAACTTCTTCTATAGTAATTGATCACTATGGCAAACAATGACAGGAAAAAGTAAAAAGAAATCTTAAGAGCAAACACTTCATAGTGCACTTCTTGTAAGATGGGCAAATTACCTTTTCAGATCTCTATTACATATAGTCTGTTACTTTTAAGACTTTCCTTTAAAAGAATAAGAATTTTTTCCATAGCAAGAGATTATTTATTGGACAAATACAATCTCATGAATGGGAGAACACTTGCAATCCATGCATTTTTTAAAAACAATATTATCTTAAACACGTTACTTGTCAAAAAATAAAAAAATTTAAAACACGTTAAAAAACAATTTAGCGGGAGTGAATTCACCATGAGCATTTCCAGTACCAACAACAAATCAATGTCTTCATTACAACTTGGTTGATGGGAAAGTCGCTTGGAACAATGCATCTATCTCTCTCTCTAAATAAGTTTTTGTTTGAATTGGGGGACAAGATTAGAAGTTCTTTTGCCATAAGTTTTCCTAGCCTTTATAGGCTTTTCATCTGTTTAACACTCATATTTTATACTGTTGGAATTCACGTTTTATTTTGTCCCGTAATTCTGGGTCCCGTGATTGGTGGATCACGGTTAATTATGTATTGCCCAGTGGCTCAAGATTGCTGGATTATGTTGTTGGGTTTGTTTGGGGCTGAGTGGGTAATGCCGAGGTTTTCTAGAGGCTTGGAGAAGTTGTATGGTGGGGGGGCCAAGTTCGTGATTTCTGGAGGGTTACGCCTTTGTGTGTCTGGAGGTGTTTATGTCTTGAAAGAAATAGGAGATCATTCAATGGAAAGGAGAACCCTATCGTTGAAGTTCACCATTATTAGTAGGGTTCTAGGGAGAAATTGCAAATCCATGGAACGTTGAAGTTCTCCATTATTTGGACACGTTGAGGGTTTAGAGGCCATATTTAGCCTTGAGAAGCTTTTGAGTGATGAGTTCCCTTTTGAATGCTTTTTATACAAATAGTACTTATAAAAAAAAATAAAAAAAGAAGCAGCTCCAATATCTTCTTATGGAAAATGTGTTGGTATTCACAGACTCAATGTTGAGCACAAAAATAGAGAAGATCAAACAACTTGACGCCCGAAATATGAACCCATAATAATGTGCACCTAATTACCTATCTTCTGGTTATAGGAATAATTTAGAACAAAGATTAGTTCTTGATTAATCCTAGAATAAAAATGCCTGGAGTATTGCTTTATATGTGAGAACTGGGCTGAGGATAGTGTTGGAGAATATTATTATAGAAACCCTTAAATTACTCCTTGACAAAATATTGCTGTGAGAATATCATATGAGTGATTTTAGCCTATGATAGAATATGGGATTGATTGGAGTAATATATGGGATTGATTTTTTTTTTTTTTGATAAGTAATATATGGGATTGATTTTAAGAATCCTACATCAATGTATTTTCCATATTTATCTCTTGTATTCTTTCACCTATAAAATAGAGCTGATCATTATATACAAAAATTAAGAGAGAATGTAATGAAAGAGATGTAGCCCTTTAGGCTTTGTGTGTCTTGAATGTAAGCCCTACTGGTTGAACCACATTATATCCTTGTGTGCTTCATTTTCTATTCTTCTCTTCAATTATGACATGGTATCAGAGCAGATTTATCATACCCTAATCTATACTCTACTTGTCTCGGATCTATGGATCAACTCGTCTTAGATCTCTAGATCAACTCATCTCGGATCTTTAGATCAACTCGTCTCGGATCTTTAGATCAACTCGTCTCGTACTGTCGATAACTTCGTATTTAGTTTCAAATTGGACACTTGAGAAAATCTCTGTGCTCCAACTTAAGGGGGGGTGTTGGAGAATATTATTATAGAAACCCTTGAATTATTCCTTGACATAATATTGTTGTGAGAATATCATAGGAATATGATTTTGGCCTACGATAGAATATGGGATTGATTGGAGTAATATATGGGATTGATTTTAAGAATCCCCCATCAATGTATTTTCCATATTTATCACTTATAAATAGAGGTGATCATTTTATACAAAAATATTAAAAGAGAATGTAATGAAAGAGATGTAGCCCTTTGGGCTTTATGTGTTGTGGATGTAAGCCCTACAGGCGGAACGACGTTATATTATTGTGCTCTTCATTTTCTATTTCTCTCTTCAATCCTAGAATAAAAATGCCTGGAGTATTGCTTTATGTGTGAGAACTAGGCTGAGGATAAAGTTTATAAAAAAAACAAGGCAAGAGAGGAAAGACACTGCTCTGTCTTTGGTGTACAGAATGAAAAAAATAGTGAACTTTTGAAGGCATATAGCTGCTGATATTTCTTTATTTGTTTATTTATTTTGGCAAGAAACTCACACACCGACTTTTGTCCCTAATGGGACTTGAACCCTCAACCTTACACTGTAAGAGGTATAGGAGGTACCACTAGGCTACAACCCTTGGTAAATAGCTGCTGATATGAGATGCTTAGTTCCTTCTTTTTTGTTTTCAGGGAGGGAGTCTATGTCTGCTAATTCTTTTGCTTATTTTTCTAAATTATGTACTAGATTAAGTTTTCACTCCCCTGCTGTATTGCTTTTATGTATAGTGGACAGACATGGATTAAGTATCCTCTTCCATTCTTTAATGACATTTTATCTATCAAAAAAACAAAAAAGGAATAATCAGGATTACTTTGTAAATAATAAATCAAAGATTTTATATGTAACTTTTACTTGGGCATAAATTGCAACCTAATTTTTATATATTGATTAATATCTTTTGACAACTTTTTAGTCCTTATCCTATAATTACTATGCTATTCAATTGCCACAACAATATTAATTAGGAAGGGGATCATTTTGGCAAAACAAGAATGAGGATCTCGTACGCTATAAACTTTTTAATTGCTATGGTAGGGATAGGCACATGGATTACATTGTATCAAGGTCTTTCTAAAGTTGGAGAGTGGTTTTCTTTAAACAAGCAGTTGAAAACATGATAACATTAAATGCACAACTTCTCCATTTGCTTTGGTAATTCGTTACCTCGGAATTAATCATGTAAACACAAAAATTATTACAACGCATATAAGTTGAGCTATTAATGAGTTAGGACCCTTTCCATGATCTCCTCTCAAAGAAACTCATTAGTTGAACTTATTACAACACGTATACATTGAACATTTAGTTTTATAGTTTTTTACGTCTTTTCTTAAAAAGAAGAAAACTAAGGGAAGAATTTTTTTTTGAATTACTGCATTAGTGTTTTGGAACAAAAGTACAATGTTTAGTAACATCCATTCCAGAATGGATATCACCAAGGATCCCACTAACTGCTCAAGTTTTAGAATTCTGCATCTACTTTAGCAGCATGGAAATTGAGCATATCACTTTCCTCATTTATTAGGGTGTTTAGAACAAAAGGTTTACTTTATAAATCAAACTTTTAGAAAACACTTAATTGAAAAAGGAAATTGTTTGGTATTGATTTTCTTCCTGTTTAAACCCCATATTGGAAAAGTATTGCAGGATCAGATTTTAGAAGTGAAAAATATGTTTCTTTAAGATAACAAGTATTAATTGGATTCCATCTCTTTTCTCGTCTTTTCTCTTTTCTTTTTCCCAATGAACAAGAAGACACCCCTAATTAGAATCACAAAGTCACATTTATTGCATGGAACAGAAAATATTTGAAAAGAAAATATTAATTTTGCTGTAGGAAAATATCCAGTTTATAATTTACTGGAAGAAAAAATATCCAGTATAATTTTCAGATCGATCATCAATTCCAAGGATGATTCACCTAGTGAAATCCAAGAATGACTCAAAATGCAGGAATATCAACTCCTTGCTCTGCACATATATTATTCACCGAAATACAAGCTCATTATGCAAACTTCTGAAGGTGTGATCTGAATATGCATAAATGGCACAGATTACTTCCACTTTTTATGATCTATTCAGTTAGTTATTATTCAATTCCTATAAATTGTCTTCTGGATATCAATATAGTATTAGGCATCCATCCGATGAGATGATGGCTGTTTTTAAACAAAATCTAGGTATCATTCTAGGAATCTAGGACATCTATCTTCTAACCATCTTACATTGTTAAGTGGCTCAAGAATACGAGCATATATAGAGTTACAACATTTATATGCACATTGTGCCTTAAATGTACACGTGTTACAAGGGGATTGATAATGGCATTAGAGTGGTAATACTCTCAGAACTACCAAACGTGTTTAATTAATTTGTATAGTTTTTCTCACTATTGCCAGGTTTGATATATGCATTTTTGCACTTTGATCTCCTCATAATATTTGACAAATAGGATTAACAGCTACATCGGACAAAGAGACACCTAGACCTGATCAAATTGGACTCTCTGATGACTTAAGCCAGCAAGACTAGCATTCACTTAAGCATGTAAAATAAGAAGCTGATGATAACAAACAATAAAAGCAGTATGAATAGGCGAACAGTCGAGCTTCCTAACTCACCTAGTTTAGTGCCAGCCAGTACAACTGGGACTCCAGGGGCATAATGCTGAAGTTCAGGGATCCACTGATCAAGCAATTGTCTATCAGAAATTGCACCACATACCAAAATGCCCACCTCAAACAACAAATTAGAAAACAGTTTTCAACTAAACACACCTTTTTGAACACATTTTCGTAGCTTGCACGACTAACTAGTGAGAAAGCCAAGACGAAAACATCTGCCCCTCGGTAGCTCAAGGGCCTCAATCTATTGTAATCCTCTTGTCCTATTAAGATGGAAAAACAAGAGAAATTGCCCAGTTTAGCGAAATGGCTGCACGGTGGTGGACCAAATTGCACTACAAACTTGCATGCCTAATTTAGTTTATAAGTAAAGAAAAATAATGGAAATGGAATTGATTATGATGGCAAACAAAACCTTACCAGCTGTGTCCCAGAGACCTAAGTTGACAGTGGTTCCTTCAACAACCACATTTGCACTGAAGTTATCAAATACAGTAGGTATATAATCCTGATTAACACGAAAAATATTAGAAACTAAACAAACAAAATAAAAATAAAGTAACCACAAAAAATAATAATAATAATAATAATAATAATAATAAAAAGATTTTTGGGAAAATGGAGGAGGAGATGAAAAGTTCAGTAGAGGGGGGGGCAACCCAGATGAGAATTTGGGCAAGAAAAAATGCAAAAACTACAAAGTCCAAAAAGTGAAGCCAAACCCAGAAGCAAAAATTATTAGTGTGGCAGAACTTTTGACATATGAAATCATGAAAACACAAAAAAGCTGCAAAATCCAGAAACATTTACACATTAAAATAACACAATAACCCATAAACACACACACAAGTATTTGTTAGACACAGAGACACAAAGAAATTGGACACAGATGCAAACACAAATACATATATATCCAAAAATGAAAACCCAGATGGATCTTCTGGGAAAAAAACACTTACAGTTGGGAATTTGTTACTGGTATAGCAGATAAGCATACAAGTCTTCCCAACAGCCCCATCACCAACCGTCACACATTTGATGAACCTTGAAGCACTTGAAGCCATTGATGAACATAAAAGAACAATAACCAGGCTAAGAGAGAGAGAGAGAGAGAGAGGAGGAGGAGAGAAGTGAATACAGAAACAAACTTGTTTGTGGGGGTGGGTGGGTGGGATATTGGGCAGGTAGTAATTTGGGCGTTTTGAAAGAAGAAGAGAGAGAAAGTAGAGAGAGAGAGGCAAAGGTCACATGATTCTTACTCATTCACTCACAGTAGCTGTTATTACCCTTTTCTTTTCTCTTTTGATTTTTCCTTTACATATACAAATTGGGTCTTTCGTAATTTAATTAGCTCATCATAATACATTGTTTTGTATGTATATGCCTCTATATGGACATTTCTATTTATGTGTGTATAAAGATTGTGTATATAAATATAGGTATATACGGGTCTTGTTTGAGACTCGGAGAGAGAAACGAAAGACAGAGACAAAGTTTCCATTTATTAGTCCCAAAATTGGATGTGAGGGCATTAAAGATTTAGGGAAGACAGTTTTGTGTCTAAACCGCCTCCACGTGAAGGTAGACCCGTGACGGCGCGTGAAGCGCGTCCAAATTAATTTGCTAAGTTGACCAACATTGGACCACCCATACTGGAATTTAATTATCAATATACAAGTGACATACTAGCCCTTTGCCAAAGTAGTTAACCACAGATACTGACATAAAATAAAGACACGACACCTAAATTTTGAAAAATAGGACACAAATATGTCAAAAATAATAATATAATATATTATTAGAAAGATAATATTCAACCTCTATTTTTGTACAATTGGACTCTAATTTTTTTTTTTTTTTTTAAGAAAATGGCAAAAAGATCTTTAATCTTTTTAATGAATCCTACCTCATTTTATAATACCACATTTATCCTTTTCATTATAAATTTTTTTTTTTACCTTATTTACTTTCTTTACTATTTTTTTTTTTTTAAACAAAATCCCTAGTCTTTTAATTTTATTGCCAAAAGGTTAGAACTTTATTTATCAACAAATACAAGATTCAAATAAATTCCAAATTTATTCTTAAAAATCAAATCCAAAAAAAAAAAAAAAACCCACCTAAACTCAAAGCATAAAATTGAAAAGAAAAATTACAAACCATCTAAATTAATTTTTAAGAATAAAATACAGTAAAGTGACATACTAGTCCTTTGCCAAAGTAAGTTAACCACACATACGGACTTAAAATACAGACACAATGATAACATAAATTTTGAAAAAAAAAAAAAAAGGGCACAGATACGTCAAAAATAATAACATAATATATTATTAGAAAGGCAATATTCAACCTTTACTTTTGTATAATTGCGCTCCATTTTTTTATTTTTTCTTTCTTTAAAGAAAATGACAAAAAGATCTTTAATCTCGTTAATGAATCCTCCCTCATTTTATACCACATCTATCTTTTTCATTATAAATTTTTTCTTCTTACCTTATTTACTTTCCTTACTATATATTTAATTTTTTTTTTTTTGCTCTTTAAACAAAATCCCTCCTAGTCTTTTAATTTTATTGCCAAAAGGTTCGGACTTTATTTATCAACAAATACAAGATTCAAATAAATTCCAAATTTATTCTTAAAAATCACATCCCAAAAAAAAAAAAAAAATAAAATAAAATAAAATAAAATAAAATTTTAAGAAAAATTACAAAAAAAATTACCATTTTCATCACCATCTAAATTAATTTTTAAAAATCACATCAGGAAAAAAAAAAATTCAAAAGTAAACTCAAAGCATAAAACATTAAAGAAAAATAAAATAAACAAATTATCATCGCTATTATAATCATCTAAAGAGTTTAATGGTTTATGAAGTTTGAAAAATTATTTTTTATGCTAACAAAATCAATTACGTTGTTAAATTATGTTATTTCTTTATTTGTGAAATCTTTCATTATTAATTCGAGAGATTAAAGTCAAACCCAATGAGAGAGAAAGAAAGTTAATACAAAATAGAGAAAGGCTTTAGAAAGGCAGGAAACAAGAGAAAAAAAATGGGTTAAAAAAATTGCAGGTTATAAAAAAGGGAAAGAGAAGGAGACAAAAAGATTTTATCATAACTAAAAAAGGAAAAAATGAAAATAAATACAGAAACACGTCATCAGTGTGCTGAAAGTGTTGTTAGCGTGTATAATTAGAAAATAAAATATTAAAATTTTAGATCACTTCCAGCTACGTCCAAAAATTCAAATGCCAGATTACCCCCTCAACATTCAATTGTGTGTACTGTGCAGTAATTTTCTTAGGGGGTGAAAAACATTATTCGTTTACACATGGTTACATTACTTCTTTGATGGGGTTGAGAATTTCGATTAAACCCTTCCAATTTTATCTCACCTAGATGCAGTGGTGGAATCGGAATTTTTTTTGTTTTTTGTTTTTTTGTTTTTTTGTTGGAAGCGAACTTGAACATAATGAGATGATATTTTATCTAACCAAAAAAAAAAAAAAAGGTACAAAAACTTAAATATTGATTGATACAGTTAGAGTGGAACCATATATAATTGTTCTTAAAAAGTAATTATATTTTGAAAGCTTTGCATGATAATCTCACTATCAAGGTCATTAAATATATCTTTTTAAATATATATAATTTTAAATTTAATACTTCCTGAGACATCAGAGTCAAATTCTTATCCACCTGAGGCAGGTTCAAAATCCTCTCATGCGTAACTATAAACTGGTGCTCTCCAGTTAGTGATACATGTTAGTTTAATGTTGTAATGCAAGCCTTACGTCACATTATTTTTCTAATATGCATCACTAACTTGAGGGAACAGATTGATTTATTGTTACGCAGGTGAGAATTTTAATTCCCTAAGTCAACCTCTTAGAGCTCAATATATACAATCATTCGACTATAACTAATTCAATATCATAATGTATTATTTTTTTAAAGTTGATAATAACTCATTAGGTCATAAGATTTTGAAATGTATTTATAAAGGTCATAATTAAGCTAGCATTTAATTTGTGATATATAGCATCCATTCAATTTATAAAATGTCATTCAAATTATGGCTCATTGGATTTTAAGAATTCAAATCTCAAACATTCACAATATCACAATTAGTTTTGAGTTATATATGGGGGTGTTAATCAACATCCATCATTTGTGGATGATTGTTTGAGGTTACATCATATAATTTGTCATAGTAATTGTAATTTGGTAGGCATCAATCCTAAATCTAGAGTAGAAATAAATACAAAAAATAGATTTGCAACTACATAGATCTCTTCAAGAAAACACAAAATAAAATAGTAGATTGTACAGAATATTAAAATTGGAGAGACAAAGCCTCGACCATAACTTGAGTAAGAAAAAAGAAAAGCAAGAGTAGAGATAATTTTTAACCTAAAATTTTTTACTCTTGACATAGTAAGATGTTACAAGAATATGCTTCTTTGTCCCTTTTCTACCTCCTCTTTTCCCAGTTTTTTAATTTTTTCCACTCCAAGGGAATGACTTGAAATGATTATTCATACTTTAATTTTCCTACTAAACCAAAGAATGAATGGAATGGATATTCTATTTAATTCTATTTCTGTATACCAAATGCAACATCGTAATCTTAAATCTGACTCTACCTGACTCTACCTTGTCATTTTATAAAGGACAAAGTGAGAAAAACACCCCTAATGTTTTAATTTTTAGTAAATATCACCCATAATATTTTCTTTGGGTATAGACAAGCTTTAAATTTGAAAAAATAATCAAAGAAGGCTTGAAGTCACTGTTTGGTTACAAATTTTGTTATGTGCGTGTTTTTAAGATATAAAATTCCGAAAATACCATTTCTCTTCCAATAATGCCCTTACATATAAGAAGAAAAAGAAAAAAAAAGAGGAACACTTTAGTCATTTAACATTTAATTATTTTTTTATCCTTTTTTTATTCAGTTATAGAGGGACATTTTAGTCTTTTCAACATTCAAACTCTTATTTGTTCAAAAATTAAATGTTAGAGATTTTTGGTTATACCTTCTATATGTATACCATAAGAGTGTTTTTTTCCTTTTATAAATGCCAGTAATTATTTTCCTTTCGTATTGATTTGTCAACTTATCTTTTGGTGGTGAGAAAATTTTCTATAGTAGAAGAAAAAACAATTATTTTCTCCTTCCTGTTTCTTTAGGTTTTGTTTTCCCTCTTCTTTTCCCAAGAAAGTGCCAGAGATCACAAGTAAGGAGAGCCAATGGTCCCAACTCCAAGAGAAGAGTTTAATTGTTGGAGTTGGCAAGTGCAAGCAACTTGATGTATTTTATTAAACTTTCTTCAAAATCTAAGTTTCTGAATGACAATTTGGGAATTTAGATTGGTGGATCGCTGGAACCACCACCAATGTGGTTTTAAATGTTTGGTACATTTTAATGGGTCCAAGGAGTCTACATAATATTTTATCAAATGGTAAGAATTTATTTAATGTGGAATTTTAATTCAACAGATAAAGGGACTTACAATTCAATTGGGCTCATCATTCTGATTTTCCAAGGAAATTGATTCATTTCATTGTAATTTACATGAATCTAATATGAAGATAAATAATGCCCAAACAGTCTCTTTTTGCTTAAGTAGATGAAAAAAAATAAAAACAATAAAGCTAGTGTTTTTTTTCTTTTGGTGAGCAGAGTATAGAAATTGTATAAAATGAAAAGGGCATACCCCACAAAACCACAGCAAACAGAAAGATGCATGCAAGACAAAGTATCTAAGCAAATAAACAAATTAGGAGTACAAAGCAAAACAAACCATCAGTCATTGTTCAAAGCATTTGTTTATAAGAGCAAAACTAAACCAAAAAGTGGCTAGGTTGGCTATTTTACTTTCCAGTGTCAAGTCTGGAGACTAAAAGGTAGTTTTAATTATATAAAGCCAAAGAAATGGGTAGGCAAAGTAGAATGATTGAAGACTTTAAATGGGTAGGCCAATGGCATAAGTAAAGATTAAGCAACATGATAAAGAAAAAACACATTATATGACCAGTCCAATATTACTCGGGTGGAGATAATATGATACTGTCTAAAAACTCACTTACACCATCATTTGCAGGTTTTGTGGAGCCTAATCACTTGTGAGATTACATATGTTATAGTGAATATCTCAGAATTCTTCCGATTTAACTTTGGAAGAAAGTTTGGGAATGGTGATTTCGTCAAGCTGAACTAGTTCAATTTTTTTTTA